AGAATATATTATTATCTTTTATAAAATATAATTTCATTTTTAATTTCTATGCCATTTGAATGTCAAAGTCTAATATATATCATTTATTCATAGATTATTGTATATATACAATAATCTATTAAACTAAATATCATTTAGTTTAGGATTATTTAAATCTCTTATGAACGTCAGAACCTAAATCAAATATGAATACGATTTTGCTCGCTTATAAATTTATCAGTTATAAAAAAATTACTTCTTAAAAGATTACTTTAAGAAATATTTAATCAACGTTATTACCTAAAAGATTTCGATAAGGTTGTTAAAACTTCCTTTGAAATTATCAAAATCAAAACTAAATCAGGTTGAATCTTCTAGTTTTAACATCATAAAACGTGTATCATAAAGTATGAACGATTTTTTGTGTATCTCCCATTCAGGTTTTTTTTTTCACTGTCTATTCCAATAGAACACTATACACACATAAAAACACTATTAGACACGATGGGTCGTGTGGGGTGCTTTCGAATTTTTCGATTCAGGGATCGGTTTGCTAAATATTTAACTTTAGGTGAAACTTTATTATAGACGTAGTGACGGTATTTAAAAAATGAGAACGTCACGTTTTTATGTAAAATTTCACCGCCGGGTCTGCATGAGTAATAAAATAAAAGAAGACTATGAATATAAATAATAATAATATAATAAAAGAAGGATATGTCGCAAAGAAGTTTTACTTTGTAAGAATGTACACAACTACACGCACAGGTTTTTCTTTTTGAATACCACCCCCTATCTGCCTGCTTATAAAACTCACCATCTTACGATTTGGGCCCATTTATAGTCGTTACAGCAGGCAACCCGCGAATTCACTTATTGTGCTCATTGTATCAAGAAGGCCCCTTCTATGTTCACGTATTGTTACGGACAACTACGGAACCCTAAATTGTATGTGGTTTATTTGGATCAGTGGTGGTAAGATTACTAAAAAAATTGTATCTTCTAATAGACGTCGCCGTTGGGGACAACAGAACTATTTTTTTTCTCAACCAAAATATACGAAACGCTGCCAGAGTAAATTTTTGACACAATCCCATGAAAATTAGCTTTGTTTACTCTTAACGCCAAATGTGTAACACCGCCGAACGCTCTCCACTTAAGCCGTGGTAGAGCTACGCTGCAGCTATACCGGCCAAGAATAAAGAAGTTCCACGCCAAACTCTTATAGAATACCAGTGTAAAATAGTAACCTATCTCTCAGTCTTCAGGAGTCACAACGCATCAACATTTTGATTCTTAATCGAGAACAGATGTAGGTTTTAATGAACTACAGCATCCACTATCAGGTGGACTGTGTGCACGTTTCTTACCCTTACCCTTTAAAAAAGGTTAAGAAGATTTTATTCTGCGACCCCAAACCTTTAAAACATTCAACATATATTATTTTTCATAAATCGTTACACAGACTGTCAACGATCGCTTAAGTACGGTCTGAAAGGATCTTTTTATGTCACAAAGACGAACACTCTTAAAGAGTGCAAACCGAAAAAAACTGAAAATTATAACTTTTGTATACTCAAAACATACGTAATTTCATAAGTAAACATTTATGTAAAGATATCTGAATATTGTAGCTTTTTTGCAAGGATATAAAAAAATTAGAAAAAGGCCAAATTATGACTCGTACAATATTACCGTTACCGCTACAACCTAAAATAGTCCATGTATTGCTGAACATAGGTTTTTCCTATAGATTGGTGAATGTAGACAACAGAAGATGCCATTCACTCAAAACGAGGCAATCAATTTTAGTCATCAGGGATAACGACGCATATGCATTTTTTTATTAATAATCGAATTCAAATGATGTCTACAGGCCACAGCATCTACTCACCGTCAGGTGGACTGTGTGCTCGTATTTGACTCTTGTACTATAAAACAAATATAAATGAAAATTGTCTCATTGGGAGGATACTTGAGGATGGAATGATATGTGGTAGTATAGAATAAATAAAATAGAATAGAATGATTTTTTATTCAATACTGATTATTACTGAAATTATTATTATTGAAAGTCATTTTTTATTTACCATATATATTTTTATATATTTTCTTACACCGCCACAACAGTCACGTAATGCCGCTACGTGGTAACGGTCATACTAGATAGTACGAAATACAATTAGTATTTATGTAAAAATTTAAGTTATAGCCTATATAAGCACTACATTTGGGAACAGGTCCCCTCTCATTTCTGGGAGGCTTAAGTAGCGATCTGGCTGCCGCGCTTATCCTGTATTGGCGGACTTCATATGTACTCAAAATATTTTATTTCTCATGCAGATTTCCTCATCATATATTCATTCACCATAAAACACGTGAAAATCAGCACTTAAAATAATTGCAATTAACTATATTGTTATTGCCAGCGGGGACCGAACTCGGGTCGGGACGATCTCTTAGCATCTGAGCTACTTTCGCTCTTTATTTTTAAAGTATTCGTATGTAAGTTGATAATTTATTCTTAATATGTTAAAAACCGATGGATTATTTTTCTTCTTATTCTTCAGCCTGTAAAAGTCCACTGCTGGACATGGGCCGCTCCCGTTTATTTATTTGATCAAATTTCTTACAGTCCGCGTAGGGAATCAGAAAGCATTATCTAGGCTTAGAGCTTGCTGTAAATTTCACAGAACGCGAGCCAGTTCTATTGCCGCCGGTACTAAAGAAAATGTAAATTTCAATTTAAAGTGCAGATTTTACACGTGTCCCACGATCAATGAAATCATCGAGAGGAAACCGGCATTTCTGAGACGTGTGAAGTCCGCTAACATACATTGTGGCAAAGCAGCAGTCTTTATTTACCCTAAAATTAAGCTTACAAAAATTAAAGGAAGGCTGTGTACATGTGACGCCGTCTAAAGGTGTCAACTATACATTTTAACTTTACTGATAAGTCATCTACATAAATTTTAAGAACATAAAGTGAATCTTATTGACGTTACCAGCATCTTATTTATTACAACGAATTTTTATATTTAATGAAGGAGTGTTCAACTTGCTCGGTAAATCCCTAAATATTTAAAACGATATAAATATTAAAGTTTTTTATGAATATCAACAGGGAATTTAGGTTAAGTGGCGCCATAAGTCCAGCCTGCTGTGACCGTGTTATTTTATAAAGTTAGTTATCTATAGATATAACAAAAATGTAAAAAGGCGTTCATTTGAGACAACAAAAATATTGTAAACGCCAAAAAAGCCTCAAAACCTAATGTTTTTTTCGAAAATTATAACAGTTACAGACAATGCTTCAAAAATCAAATATATGTTAAATTTGAATTTAATAGCGCAATTATTTGTAAAAATATATATAAAATACCTCCTCCTGTAAAGTTTGCCTTTTGTCGTTTACACTATTTCGGTGTTAATGGCTCGATATCTAAAAAAAATATGATAAAAATTATCTATACTTCTCTACACTTACCTTAGAAAATGCAGCAAAACTAAGATGCTATTTTACGCTGGAAGTATGTGCAATCAGGAGATATTATATAAGATTCTGCTCTAAAACGTTTTCCACAGTATTGTACTCGTATGCAGACGTCACATATGTTAATCTAATGCTTCATCATCTTTTGTCAAAATTCGAATAATACGAGTACGTTACGGGTCAAGATATACCTGCCAGAAATATGACCCTTTTTTGAGCTCTACATTTCATTGCTGCGCTGCATTTATTTCAAGTACTAGCGAATTATTTAACTGCAGCTGACAAAGTTCAAACGCAACACATGAATTTTTCATCCCACTCGATGTAAGGTCGAGGACGTAATTATCTCAACTTCAGTCGAATAGCGCTTTACAAAGTAAAATGCGTATAAAATGTTCTTAAAAATTTCAAGAACAATCTCCAGCCATAAGCCGGGGCAAATAGGAGATGAAATTTATAATGTTACTATTTAAACGACATTCCAGTTGTTACCTTGGGATCGACCCTTGAAGGTGTCAGGAGGGGTCAGGGGTGCGTAGCAGCACGGTTCGGGGAGTTCGTCGTTGTGGGGGTGTACTTCTCCCCGAACCGATCTCTCGCCGAGCTCCACAACTCTCTTGCAGAGCTGAGAGCAGTCGTGGTCGGAAGCTATCCCCTCCCCGTGCTTGTCCTCGGGGACTTCAATGCAAAGAACTTGGCTTGGGGTTCTCGTCGTACAGATGTGCGGGGTAGAATGGTGGAAGACTGGGCTCTGGAGACAGGCCTGGTCGTCCTCAATCGGGGTTCTGTCCCCACGTGTGTGCAGATGCGGGGCGAGTCGGTGGTGGACATTTCGTTCGCTAGCCCCGCTCTGTCGCCGCGTGCCATTGACTGGCGAGTCATGGAGGGGGTGGAGACCTATTCCGACCACCGGTACATCCGGTTTGACGTCTCCACCCAGCCCTCGAGCGCGCCAGTCTAACAGGCCCCGAGTGGTCCGCGTTGGGCGCTGAAGCAGCTGGACCGGGAGCTCCTCCTGGAAGCCTCGATCGTGCAGGCCTGGGTGTCATCACCGGATAGGCCTGCCGACGTCAATGATGAGGCAGGGTGGTTCCAGGAGGCCATGTCCGAGATATGTGACGTGGCAATGCCCCGCTTCAGGCCAGGAAGCGCCCGGCGTCAGGTGTATTGGTGGTCGCGTGAGCTGACGTCTCTGCGCGAGGCGTGTGTCGCCGCGCGGCACCTGTACGCCAGGCATCGCAGGCTCCGCATTCGTCCACCGAATGCGGCAGCTATTGAGGCGGAGCTGTACGAGGGATACAGAGCGGCGAAGACCGCCCTCCGGGAGGCTGTCATGCGGGCCCGGGATCGGGCCCGTGTGGAGATGCTGGAGACTCTCGACAGAGATCCGTGGGGGCGCCCTTACAAGATGGTGCGGGATAAACTCCGCACCTGGGCCCCCCCGCTAACGCAGAGTCTCCGGCCTCAGCTCGTGGAGGACGTGGTGAGCGCTCTGTTTCCTGCGCGAGGGGAACATCCGCCCCCGCCTATGGCTCCGCCACCTGCAGTGCCGGAAGCGGACCACCAGGACGACGACGACGGCATCCCGGAAGGGACCGGGGTAGACCTGAGAGTGGCGGTACGTAGGCTCAAGGCCAGGAATACCGCGCCAGGACCCGATGGCTTGCCTGGCAAAGACTGGGTCCTGGCCTCGGAGGCTCTCGGGCCCCGACTGGAGGGGCTCTTAAGCGCATGCTTGGAGAGAGGCCAATTCCCGCTTCGTTGGAAGACGGGGAAGCTGGTCCTCATTCGGAAGCCGGGGCGCCCTGCGGACTCTCCGTCCGCATACCGGCCCGTGGTGCTGCTCGACGAGGTGGGCAAGCTCTTTGAAAGAGTCATTGTAAACCGCCTCGCCGAGCACCTTGCGGGAACGGGAACGGATCTTGCGGAACACCAGTTTGGTTTCCGCAAGAGGCGCTCTACGGTGGACGCCATCATGCGCGTGAGAGCCCTCACGACGGGTGATGCAGTGGCCAGGGGGGGGGGTTGTTTTGGCGGTGTCTCTTGACATCGCCAACGCCTTCAACTCCATGCCCTGGAGCTGCATTAGGGAGGCACTCCGGTATCACCGGGTGCCGACCTATCTCCGCGGTATAGTCGGGGACTATCTGACGGATAGGGCCGTCATCCACCCCGGTCGCAACGGTGAGTGGAACCCTCGAGAGATGTCGTGCGGTGTCCCACAAAGTTCGGTTCTGGGGCCGCCCCTGTGGAACATCGGTTACGACTGGGTGCTGCGCGCCGACCTCCCTACCGGCGTCAGCGTAGTTTGCTACGCTGACGACACGCTGGTACTGGCACAGAGGGGATCGTACGAGGCGGCGGCGGAAACTATGACACGCGGAGTTGCGATAGTCGTTGAGAGGATCCCGCAGCTGGGTCTTGAGGTGGCTCTGCACAAGTCCGAGGCCATGCACTTCCATGGTCCTCGGAACAGGCCACCACCGGGATCCTCAGCGATGGTAGGAGGGGTATCCATCGGCGTCGAGTCGACGTTGAAGTACCTAGGACTCGTCCTCGACGGCCGATGGAACTTCGTTGAGCACTTCCGACGTTTGGCTCCCAAACTGGAACGGACCGGGGCTGCCTTCAGGCGGCTCCTGCCGAAACTGGGGGGGCCAAACGCCTCCTGCCGGAGGCTCTACGCGGGGATTGTGCGGTCCATGGCTCTCTACGGGGCCCCGGTGTGGGCGCGTGGTTTGGCGCGGCTTGCCGTCCACCACCTGAACGCGCCCCCAAAGGTGGTTGCCGTGAGAATGGTTCGCGGCTACAGCACGATCTCCCGCGAGGCAGCGTGCCTCCTTGCCGGATTGCCGCCGTGGGATCTGGAGGCTATAGTCCTCGCGCGCCTGCACGAATGGCGCGCGGAGGCACTATGCCGGGGGGAAACCCCGCTGCCACGGCAAGTTGTCGTGCAGCGGACAGACTTCTGGCATGATCTCATGGCGACATGGAGAGAGCGACTGTCGCAACCCCGTGCTGGGCACGCCACTATAGCGGCGATAAGACCCCTCTTTGAGGAGTGGCTTGAGAGACGCCACGGCGTCCTCACCTTCCGCCTGACGCAGGTCCTCACCGGACACGGTGTGTTCGGGAGGTTCCTGCACCGATTCGGGCGGGAGGAAACGCCCGGGTGATCCCACTGCGAGGATCGACCGGAGGACACGGTGGAGCACACCGTGGAGGTGTGCCCTGCCTGGGCGGAGCACCGCCGTGTCCTCGTAGCGGCGATAGGCGGCTGCGACCTCTCGCGTCCGGCCCCGGTCGAAGCCATGGTCCGGAGCGAGACGGAATGGGATGCCGTCACCACCTTCTGCGAAGAAGTGATGCTAGCGAAGGAGGTGGCGGAGCGGGAGAAGGAGAGAGCAGCAGCTTTCCTTCCCGGCCGCCGCGGGAGACGCCCCGGGCGTCGGGGGCTACGTCGTGGCCCCCGGCCACCGTAGGCGCGGGCCTGTGGACGGCGAGCAATGGGTAGCTAGCCGTCCGTCAGTCTAACGACGACAGGCCGTGTCGACGGCGCGTTTTGTTCCACGCGCGCCTCAAAGAGCTGTCAGCAGCGTGAAGGGGCCCGCAAGGGCCGACGCCTGCCGGGGCTGCAGGCTGTTCGAAAGAGATACCGCGGCTCCGGAACGTAAGGCACTGAAGGAACACGGATGGTTTATAGTCAGTAAAAGTCTGACACTCCCTTCCGCTCCACCCAGAGCGAAAGGCGTCATTTGATGATTTTCCATCCGCAAAAAAAAAACAAAAAAAAAGACGTCTGTAAATTTTATATTTTTGTAATAAAAGTGATTGAGAGATACTAAAAATAAGTAATTAAACCGTTTTTAGAATTGTCTGTCTGTCTGTATGTTTGTTTGTTAATTTTTAAGATTTTTCGCTTTCTTTTTAATCGTATTGAGACTCACTGAATAAATTTGTACCCATGAGTACGATGAAGTTGAGAGAGCCGTGTAGGCTAACAGCACAAACATCACCAGAAACCAGAAAAGAAACACACCCACCTAAGCTATGCAACGAAACTCGATTAAAAACTAACAAAATTGCAAGAAAATGTCATGATATTTTTTTTTATACCCCGAATCCCTCTAATCCCAAATAACTTTCCTTTCAGTTTTAAGCGTGTTCAGTTCCCAGTCTGCGTGTGTTATGCGACGACCGTAAATAAAGCGCAAGCTCAAACTTTACGCGTTCCAGGAGTAGACCTCAGTACTAACTATTTTGCACATGGCCAACTCTATGTTGCTTTTTCCCGCGTTATCCTATAACCTATTTGTGTACCTACGCCCCGGCTGTCTACCTCTAACGTCGTTTACACAGAAGCTCTATCATAAACGATTTAGAACTTTGAAGATAACGATTTATTTTGTTACCACTTATTGATACAGTAATGATATAAATCGTTTAATAGTCTCTTAAATAAACGTCAAATTCTTTAGGTAAAACCTATATACGCGAGCTACGCCGCGGGCACAGCTAGTAAAAAATAAAAATTCGCTGATGAATAAGTAGCTTTAGGAAAATGAAAAAGTGAATGCCTCTCATTTCTGAAAGAATATATTGTGGGCGCTTTATATATAGTTCACATCACCGAGATATACGGAAGTATATCGATATACGAGATATGCGAAATAACCATCACCATAAGACAGGCAGTTTTTTTTTTATGAAATAATTCTGACAAACGAGCAAACAGTCCACCTAATAGTAAGTGGATGCAATGGCACAAATATACCTAAACCTGTCCTCTATTAAGAATAGAAATGCAGATGATGTGTCAACTCTGAGGACTAAGATGCAATGCTCTGTTTCCAGTAAAAAGGGCTTCCGATTCTCTGCACCTTACCATACGAAAAACAGCTGCATTAAACTATTTTACGCTGGTATCCTGTTAAAACGTGGTCTTTTCCCGATCATGCTACAACCATAATATAGCTGCAGCGTGGCTATACCATGTAAAGATTAGAAATACTTTCTTTTAGGGTATCTGTGTTTTACGAGTTAGCGCATCTGTGTTTTTACGTACATCGATTAGTTCTTATTGTTGTTGTCACGTTCATTATATTCAGCGATGTTCATAGTTCCCGTTTTTTTGAAGAAGTATAAGAAGGTATGATGGCTGGAAAGCGAAGACTGGATTGCTTGGATGGCCAAAAATACGACAGCAGGCTGGCTGGCTTGTGATAGCAGGATGGGTTGCATGGCAAGGAAAACGATAGCAGGATAACCTCCCAAATAAGGAAATAATGTATGAGTTACATTTATTTCTAAAGAAAGGATGGCTCAATGGTTTGATGGGCTAGAAAAATGATCCGGGATGACTTAGATGGCTAAAAAAATGATGGCTTGGAATTTTAGGAAAACCATAGCTACATATTATTATCTATCGATCGAATGCAATGAATATAGTGAATATTAAGTTCCAAACAAAATTAAAAAGAAATAGCATATTAATAATTTATTTAACAAATTATAGATAAACAGAGGATATATTATAGTACAACATAAGCTTAATGAAAACTTTACCGTGTACGACAAGGCATCGACATTAAAATTTGACAGATAAGCTACACCTTAATCCAGAAAATGTGTATAACGCAACACTATGAGTACTAAACAGCAATTGGCACAGTCAACAGGCGGTAAATTGGAAACACGTAATTACCATTGAAAAGACGTGAGTCTTAAAAGGAAGGCATCTTAGCTCAAGCGAAAATCAACGCCAAGTCCAAGTAGTAAAATGCATTAACTAGCACATAGTTAATAATAAACAACTTTAAGAACATGTGAAATAAAAGTGTACATTGTTAAATAAAACGTGAACAACGACTGAAAGTTCTACGCTCAAACGAACGTACGTAATTGTACCTTCGTGCTTATACAAGCACCTTTTATGCGACAACTGGTGTAATAGAAAACAATTATATACAAAGAACTTAAAAATGTGAAGTATTTGACTCGGAAAAGTATTTTTTATGACAAACAAGCACATAGTCGACCTGATGATAAGTGGATGCTGTGATACATACACATTCACATCTATCCTAGATTAATAATCAAAATGCAGATGCTTTGTACCCCTACAGATTAAGATGGAATGCTTCGTTTCCAGTATAAAGGTCCTCTTGTCATGCTATTTCACGCTTGTATCCTGCGAGAACATTGTTTATCCCGTTTTGAGTTGAAATATTTGTGATAAAACCATAATATAGCTGCATGCGTGGCAGATATGATAAATATTCCCCTAATGTGGCAGTGACAATATTTTTTATAATGATAATATTGCAACTAATCTCACAGAATCATCTAACCTATTTACAATGTCTTTTCACTCAATTTTTGGAGCATCTTCTGTTTCAGCCGAGTATGATATTGACAGTATCGATTTTGGATAATGCCCTGATTCACACATTAATTGAACATCTATTACACTATAATAAGGTGATGTTTTTAAAGAGCTACAAGCATTAAATACAACCAAGAGTATGGGCCCGATTAAAAATCACCAGTATTTCTGAAAAATACCACAGTTAATATTGGTAAACCACTGTGTTTCCTTTTAAACAAGTGTTTTAGTGAAGGTATATGTCCTAACGTATGGAAAATTAGAATCGTGCCTGTATATAAGAGTGTTTCAAAACGAAATGTTGAGAACTACCGTCCTATTTCTATTTTGTCAGCTGTGTTGAGTCTATTTGAATGATTAATTTTCAACTCTATATATTCATTACTGCATTGTTTAATCGTACCCGAACAACACGGATTTGTAAGACGACGTTCAACTGCTACCAATTTATTAATATATCTAACGGGCTTATTTCAAAACTAAGATTCAAATTATCAAACTGACTGTATTAACACAGACTTTCATAAGGTCTTCGATAGAGTTGATCATAAAATTCTACTTGATAAAATTGCTTTTAACGGTATACGTGGTAATTTTTGGCGATGGTTGTTATTAATGGTTATGAATCAGAGTATGTGCCTGTCATCTCTGGTGTACTACAA